TGCCCATCTTGCAAATTCCATCCATAGCTTACGGGTTGAATATGTTTTAAGACTACTATCAGAATATGATATATTAAAAATTTCCAATTCTAATAAGTTTAGGAATTCAGTAGGTATTTCGGAAGAGGATGGGATCGATTGGACACTTTGGGGTGGTAAAATCTTATCTGCCCCCAATTTTGCATTTATATTATGTTTATACATTTGATCCTCTCTTCGTTGTTTCTTTTCTAAAAGCTTTCCAAAAAAGGTAAATGTTGGATTCAAAAATATAGAAGGTTGTGAGTAGTTAGTTGACTTAAGATCGCTTGCTAGAAAATCATTCGAAGTCCACAGGCATTGGATATATTCTCGAGATTGGTCCTTTGTGGACAGACGTGTCATTCCTTGTGTTTTATGCTTGACCAAAGATAAAAAAAGTAAGTTAGTCTATGAAGACAAGAATGATAGATTATCTCAAAGAATAGTAATTCCATCTTTCGTCTAAGTGGATACATTCATATCATTCCACATGGTGTAGCCTGGTGGTTTAAAACCTGGGAAGTCTGTTGAACCTTCCTCACCTTGCATACGCCCTACATAGAAGAATGATGATCATGCCTTAGAAACTATGAAAGATAGAACACTTTATCAAAATTTATGCTTGTATAAAAATTTGATTAGCTTACTTCCTGAGGATCATAAAATATGTTTATTTTTTCGATATGACTAGTTCCAGCGTTGTAACAGTGTCCCTCTTCAACGATCAAATGGTCTGGGTCTTCGACTTTGGCCTTTTTTATAATATGCAGTTCTTTTTTACGCAAATTCCTCTTGGAGGCCTTCGATAAAACATTTGGCAACGACATAGTGATAATACGGTAAGCAATTTTATAAAAATTTTTGAGAAAAACAAGTAAATTCGAAACAGAACTTTGTAGTTAAGATAACCTTTTTATTATAAATCATGACTTATTATTATTTAGTACATAAGAATCTGACACAAAGCAGTATACAATATAAATGACTCGGCATTATGATAATTCAACACGGGTCAACTAACAATTTTTATTTGGCGTCATAATGATAATTTAACGATAATTTAACACTACATAACAAATAATTAAAATGTTTACTAAATTCGGCACCACAATTAAAGAACACGACAAATCAACCATCGCACATTTTCTATATTCGGGATTAGATTATTAATAACTTGTTGAAAGACATATTTGGGTATACGGGTATAGTAATAATTTTACACGTTATATTTAAGCTGGATCTACAAATTTAGAATAACCGTTATACACTTCATTATTACCGGTATACTTATAACAAACATGTTGATCAAACTCCCAATTTTTTTTTACCAAAGTGCAGAAGTGTAAATACATAAATACCTATAAATATCTGTAAACATAAATGCACGTTAGTTTAACACAACCACGTAATTTTTATCGTTGGCCATTAAATCGTGTCGGTACCGATCTGTACTGAAATAAATCACATAGACACGTATCGATACCGGTACATTTGTGCTGGAAAAAATAAAGTATTTATTATCACATGTCTTAACAGACCCGTGGGACCGCCTTTTATTCAAAGCTTATCTACATAGATATGTCAGAATTTTTTTATTACTTCTAGAGAGACGCTGTATTAATACAGTAATATTGTAAGTACAGAAGCAACAAGTCGCGATATAAGGTTTTGTGATACTCTCCTGCAGAATCATTTCTCACAGTCAATTTTTTTATTAATAACAAATATTACGAATAATGCGAATAATGCCTAGACCTTTTCTTACCCTATACGATCTTGTGATAAGAATGAGGCTTAAAAAGGCTATAAGGGTAATAAGTATAACGTTCCTTATCAGTAGTTTTATGGGTCATGGACCCCAGGCTTTGCCTGCCCAAATTCATATGTCATGCGGGGCTTGGAATCCCCAGATCTTGAAGATCGTTAACTTTTTCACTTCGCAGGAGCGATCGTCAAATCTAAGGGGATTTAATTTACCTATAAAACAACAAAATAGATTCAGTATTTGGAGCTTATAACCGAACGGAGTTGCTTTGTTAAGTGTGGTCTGGCATTGTGTTAGGGTAACGTAATTACTAATCGCGTATTTTTTCAGATCTAGATCCGAAAGATTATGAATCGTAGACTCGCCCCTTATTTCAGAAGCAATAGTACTGTACATCGTACCCGGGTCTGCTATGTAATACAAAATGAGGCAGTATAAAATTGGCTGGTTTTTATCTTGTAAGGTGGGTTACCAATAACTTTTTTTTCTGCTCATATATATTTTTACTTGATTCACTTGCCTGTAATTTATTTTTAATTTGCTATTTCATTTAACGGAGGCTATGAAAATGAATTTTTACTTACCATGATTTTTCTTGTATTCAGGTACAAAAAATGAGCACTAACGATAGTACCACCTCCAAGACCAACAATAGCACCACTTTCAAGACCAATGATAGTAATGCCCCAAGACTAATGACTCCAATCCAGAAAGCAATCAAAAAAAGCTATCTGGCATAGGCATAATTCTCGATTATCAAATACTATGTAATTACCCGGTATCAACCCTATAACATTTTCAAAAGTAATAAAAACTCGCAGTTATTACGGCTTTTAATTTTTATTTGTATTTGTATTATTTTATTTGTATGTTGTCATTCTGGCAAAAAAAAAATTTATTAGACCCGGAGGGTCATTGCTTCGCAATAATAAAGAAGAGGGGTCCTGTGGCCTTCCCATGTTTTATTTTTACGTGATTTTTTACAATGTAGTTTGCGATTATTAATTAGTGAAGATAACGGAGTCATACCTAGTTTTCTTATTAATCTATGCTTTTACAGTCACTATTTGGATTGAATTCTGATATTTATTCTCCCAACATGTAAGACGATATGTTTTTGTATTAACATAATCGCCACTTCCCCACTCACCTTTTACATCATCCCTTTTATGCTCTTTATTACATACGAGACAGGTTTTTGGACAATTAAAATAGTCACCGTACTCGTTACTATATTTCAAAGTTAAATAAGAGAATCGCTCCAATACCATTTTGATAACATGTGCTCGCTTTTTTTCGGGATCACCAGGTAAAACAGAAATTGAAGGTCGGGATTTATTAGATACATTTACCTGGGATATAGGTGGCATACTTACCTTAGATGAATTAGCAGAAATAGATGAGTCAGAGACTCGAGACTTTGTTTCTTTAGTAGATGCATTTACCTTAGCTTCTGGTAATTCCGAGGAAGCAGAGCTTCGAGTCTTTGACCCATCTTGATCATTTTCTTGAGATGGTTCAGACACGTGTGCGTGACAATTTGTCACGCTTATCATATCTGTTGAAGACTTGGGAAAATCATTTATAAGGTTTTGAATTTGAATATCCTTTAGACTTGAAATAGCACTTGCGCTGTAAGTTATTTGACTAATTTTATCAATTCCTACTCCTCCATAGAATATATATACTTTTTTCGCTCTAGAAGTTATTTTACGCAAGTTTACATCAGTAACATCAGGAAGGAGCAATTTGATTTCATTATATACTATCGTTCTTGCCGATTGGTCATCAGTATTATTCACAGATTTAACATCACTAACTCGATTTTCATATGCTTTATAATAGCAATACCAGCACAAACTTTCCTTTTGTCGAACCTTCATTGCTACCCTAAATAAATCAACTATATTTTGCGATGTAACCTTACCAGATCCTGTTAAAATCGCTTCTAAAGAAAATTCGGGAATTTGAATATCAAATACTTTATTAATATTATGGTTATTATCTTTGGTGCAAATAAATAGCTCGAGTCTTAAACCTCGTTCTACTTTTTGATTATAAGGAATTTTCTGATTAAGCAATAGGTTAGTAGGTAATTTAGACTCGGAACTTATTTCTGGAATGTTCAGATTTGATGAATTGTAGTCCCGAGACTTTGTTTCTTCCTTACTTACCTCAGTTAAATCCTTTGGATTCGTTTCCAATGAATTATTATTCGAAGATAAATCTTGGAATATAGGCTTCTTTTCCCGGTCTGAAGATAAATTTTCATTTGTATAATTTTTTTCAAGAGATATTTCCTGTATTAAAGCTTCTTCCTTTTTCAGTTTACACAAATCATTGGTTGAAATAATATGGGACACAGAGAGTGAATCCTGTTCATTAGTTATTTCGGTATTGCATGATATATCCGAAGAAATGTTATAGTTATCCGAAGACAAGTCTTGGAATTGGTCTTTATCTAATTCACGTAGAAGCTTCCTTTCTTTATTACGTTGTCTTATCTCATTACTAACCTTTTCCTTGTTTTTCTCATCTAAAAAATTGATCATCTCTTTATCCTCTAATAATTTGGTGTTAGTATCGATGCATTGATTTATAGCAGGGTCAGGTACATTAACATTCTCAAAAGAATTATCACCATCTTTTAATCTGTGTACAATATTGTTTTTCAACTGCTTCTATTCCAATTTCGAAACTCTGGATCTAAGCTCATTAAGTTCAGAATCTCTTAACTTTGAATTCTCTGCATTTTCTTTTGTAGATTGTTCTAATTCTATTATTCTGGCCATGAGTTCCGCTTCCTTAGCCAAGAATACAGTCTTCTCCCTTTTAAGTTCAGTATTCTCAGCTTCAATCTCTGTAAACTTCTTTCTTAATTCATCAATTTTTAGGACAAGCCTGGAATTTAATTCTCTTAATGATTCTATTGTGGGTTGCATATCTGCCATTGTTTTTATTTAAGATACGGATATATTCAATTCACCGTGAAGATAAAAAGTCACGTGCGCGTGACAATTTGTCACAAGAAAAACTTTAAAAATTCTCGATCATATGCGAGTAATGTACAGTGATAATAATACAATAAATTCACAGCCACCAAGGCCAGCTTTATTGATAATATTAGAATAACGATAACAATGTGTTCACAAATTTCAAGTTAACCATATCAAAGGTTTGACAAAATGTTATAAAAATATGATGCAGTAAAAAATTAATTTTGACTTATAGAAAACTTTAGATTTGTTTTTTTAAAGTTTACTAATCTAGTTAAAACACGTTTAGAACCAAGTGAAACCACAAGTACTCCTCCCAAATAACCTTCCCCCTTCATTACTTGAATTTTGTCATCATAAATTCCTGATTTATCATACTTATTAACACTACCCTTCC